AATTGACAAGTTTCCACCCCAGTTTCATGAGGTGGGCCCGATTTTGTAGCTTAGCATGTCTCAAACCAAGACCTTCTCTATTCTTTGGTTGACATACGGAGTCCCATGCAACTAGAGGTATCTTCTGGGTATCACTCGTGCTTCCCCACAGGAAGCTTTGGTTTAGTTTATCAAGCGTCTCACAAGTGTTGGTAGTAAGAAGAGAGGTTTGCATAGTGTAGCTCGGGATGGCTGAAGTAACTGAAGTAATAAGCGTAGATCTACCAGCGAGTGAGAGAGAGTTTGTCTTCCATTTTGCCAATCGAGTTTTGACCTTACCAATGATTTCTTCGAAAGAGTCCTTCCTTACTCTCTTGTGGTGCAAAGGGACACCAAGATATTTACCCAAATCCGCTGTTTGAGTGAAGCCCAAGTGATTACTTATTTCTGAGCACCTGTTATGGTTCATATTTGGAGAGAAGAACACACGGGTCTTTGAAAAATTTACCTTTAATCCCGAGCAGAGGCAAAAAGTGTTCAAACAATTCTTGATTAACTCCGCTTGTTGTATTGAGGCTTCTGCAAACAAGATAATGTCATCCGCAAAGAAGAGGTGAGAGATAGGAGGGCCATTCTTTGTTAGTCGTATTGGTTTCCATTCTGCCGCTGCCATTTTTTCTTGGATAAGATGAGCCAGTTTTTCCATGCAAATCACAAACAGATAAGGAGAGATCGGGTCCCCTTGCCTCACTCCCCTAGAAGAATTAAAAGAATCAGCTTTGTTACCGTTCCAGAGAAGTTGCAAACTGGCGGTGCTAATACAGCAGGAAATAATGTCAATAAAATGAGTAGGCAGAGCTAACTCTTTCAAGCACCGGATCAAGAATTGCCAATTGACTCTATCATAAGCCTTTTCAAGATCTATTTTGATAGCCATAAAGCCTTTCTTCCTTTTCATGTTGCGCATAGAATGAATAACTTCTTGGGCAATAATGATATTATCAGAGCTGTGTCGGCCAGGTACAAAACCGCACTGGTTCGGAGATATGATTTGCGGCATGAAGTTTTTCATCCTGCTTGCCACAATTTTAGTAACCACTTTGTACACCACATTGCATAGACTGATGGGCCTTAGATCTTTAAAGGTCTCTGGGGAGTCCTTCTTAGGAATTAGAACAAGCAAGGTATCATTGATCTTCCGTATCTCATGAGGATTGTCAAAGAGATGTTTAATGTAATTCACAAGCGACCTTCCAACTGTATGCCATTGATTTTGATAAAACAAAGCATTGAAGCCATCTGGGCCTGGGGACTTTAAGGGACCCATGCTAAACACAGCATCTTTAATTTCCTGTTCATCAACAATACGACTACAACAACGTAAATAAATATCATCAATAAGGGGATAGGTAATATCACATACCAACTCATCACGTAGAGGTGCATCATCTGTGAAGAGGTTTGAGAAGAAAGTTGTAGCCTCTTGTTTAATGATGCTCGCATCGTAGCACCAGTTCTCTTCATCAATACGGATTGCATCGACTCTATTAGTTTTCCTTCGTTCGTTGGCATGTGAATGGAACAGTTTTGTATTCCTGTCGCCGTAAACACTCCAGTTTAGACGAGCTTTTTGAGCCCATAATAAAGCATCTTGTGCCATGACACTTTCAAGTTCTTTCCACAGATCATTTTGAATTTCTTCATATACTGAACATTCCAGCCCCGGTGTATAGCTCTATTGACACCATCTAGACGTCTCAAGAGCTTTTGCTTTCTTGCTTCAATATGACCGAAGACCTGTTTGTTCCATAGGCGACACACATCTGTAAACTGGTCCATATTATGGTTCCAATTCAGGCTCTCCCTCCACTTATCTCGTACGAATTCATCAAAGTTCTCATGAAGGACCCAAGAAGCTATAAAGCGAAAAGGCCGCTGAGGTTTTTCAAAATGATGCTCAAGTTGTAGAAGGATGGGTCGGTGGTCTGATTTCTAAAAAGGGAGATGTGACACCTGTGCATGAGGAAATTTCTGGCACCATATCTCATTAGCAAAGAAACGATCCAATAGCGCCTCAGAGTGGGATCTCTTCCACGTGAATTTAGGACCACATAACCCAAGTCTTGCACATTCACTTCTTCAAACCACCTGTAGAAGTCACGGTCAACGATATACTATGAATTGCATTAGAGCACCTTTCCATCTCAAATAGTGTTGCGTTGAAGTCCCCACCAAGCACCAAGGTGCTTGCATAGTATTATCAAGGCGCCGAAGTTCATTCCAAAGCGCACGTCTTGTCACCACGTGGGGGCTCGCATATACAACCGTCATATACCATTCATCAAGTCTGCTATTCTTAATTTTTAAGTGAATATATTGTCGATGACGCTCTACAACAACTACCTCCCGTATGCCAGCATTCCAAAGGCACCAAATTCCTCCACTGTAGCCTTCAGTGTTGATGTAGGTGTAGTCTTGAAATCCAAGTCTACCAATCCTTTGTTCAGTCTTTTGCTTATTTGACGGGTCTCTACCAGAGCAAGGAAGTCCAGATGATAAAATTTTTTAATTTCTTGAAAAGCTGGGAAATGTCTTCGAGCCTGTACCTCTTGAATTCCAGATCATGTAGTTCATGGGGAAACAATATTGTATGGTTTGGTGATGCTTCAAGGCCCCCCACCTGAGCAATATCCATATTTGATAAAAGTTTTTCGCCTGAAGTTGACATACCAAGATGAAAATCTGATGATACACTATTTTGAGCTGTGGTGTCTTCATTCACCATGGCTAAAGACGAAGAAACACCGTTAGGAGGCTGAGAAGTATCCATTTCTGCCAGATCGCGTCCATTCAAACTTGAGCCCAAAATTTGTTGCTTGTTAGCGTCTTGTGTAGGTGGTCCATCTTGGAGTGATGAGAATGGGTTAAAATCAACAATGGGCCCATAGTTGGTGTCCTTTATGCCTTGGACTTTTGCTTTTGATTTGTCTGAGTTATTTTCCTTCCCACGCAACCTGTTCTTATCCACTATTTTCCTTTGAGCCTATGGTCATCCACGTGTTGCTATCAGTTGAAATCTCGTTCCAAAAGCTCGCTCTTTAATTATGGGGTCCGTGATCTTTGCTCCATGATCCTTCAGTACTCCTACTGGTCTATATACTCCTTTAAGGACCTCCTTATTCTTGATCCGGTTTTGATTCCTGCCATTAATCATATTCCCCATTTCCTTTTTTTCCTCTCTTATATTTCCATTATTAGATCCCTTTTTATCCGCAGCATTAGCTGTATTCGATCCCCTCTTATCTGTTCCAATATTGATTCTGCGAAAATTACGGCTTACCAACATCTGTGGACCCAAGTGAACATCAACCACCGTAGCCTTCGTTCCATTCACCGGATTCTGGGAGTTTCCGGTGTCGTTCATGTCGACAGAGTTCATCGTCTGGGTATTGGTTGATTTATCCTGTGCGGGGTTCGAGTCCGTGAGAGGACATGCATGTTTCTCATGACCATATCTTCCACAATGAAAGCACACCAAGTGTAATCCTTCATAGACTATCTGTCGATCCTCTCCAAAAGCCGTGAATGCTGTAAGTAAGGGTTGCTGCAGATCAATCTCTACGCATATACGGGCAAAGCCTCCTTTGTCATAAATTGAGGTCGACCTATCCACTTTGATGGTTTTACCCACCATGTCTCCAATAATTCCAAGTGATTCCACGTTGTAAAATTCCATTGGCAGATCTGGTATGCGAATCCAGGCAGCAATTCTTCGTTGGTTGTCCGCTTTCCATGGATTGAAATTCGGTCGCCATCTTTGAACCAGTAGGTAATGATCATCAATCATCCAGGGCCCTTCCTGAAAAGCATAGTCACGGTCTTCCCTACTTGAGAACGAGATAATGTAGTAGTCATTACTAAGAGGGGTCACTTCATCAGGTCTTTTGGTTTCCACATCCTCCTAACTCTGTCAATGAGTACATGCCTTGGAATTTGCGTCCCCATTAGTTTAATAATCAAGGAGTTCATCCATGGCTGGCACCATGCTGTGTATTGCTCAGCCGTCACTTTTAGGACTGGATACTTCGGTTTTATGGTAGTCCCCTCCGTCTCCTCTCCATCCGACATCTCCTTCTCTAGGTTTGGACCCTCCTCCTTATTCTTCTTGGCAAAAAAGGACTTCCACCCATTGACAATATCCTCAATTTCATCATGTCTCACCAAAAAGCCCCCACACCCTAAAGACAAAAGCTTTTCCTTATAGGACAAAGGAAGAGATCTCCGGTTCGGTACCTGTGGGTTTTTCTCACGCAGCCCTTCTGTCGTCTTATCTCCACCCCCCATGCCAAATACGAAGTCCATTGGCGTGTTGTCTAGTAGTTTATCTCGTTCGCGTCCCCCACCGAGATCGCCACTATCGTTACTTTCTTCTCCATTGCTGTCACTCAACCCACGTTCACCATCGCTCGACCCGTTCGCTCTCATCGCTCCAAACTCACGCTGTGAATGAAATCATGATTTTTTATCTTACCTAAACATCTCTAAAACAATAATCCTCCATCCCTTCTCCATTCAAATTCTCGGTTGCCGATTCTCTTATACCCCTAATATTTTACCAAACACAAAAATAATGTGATGGTGACAACAAATGTATCGTAATAATTTGATACTTCAAGACTTTTTTTGCCATCGATTATTATCAAAACTAAATATTAATGATATCAATAAATTAAATTGATATGATATCAGTTACTAGTAGCCATAGATTATCCTGGCAAAAGCATTACTAATTGATAACGTGACTTGAATTGATTTAGTATCAATCATTGTTATTACTTCGGATTTATGTTTTATTAAATTTTTTCAGTATATATAACACACACATCTATAACATCTTCCTTTTTAATAGTAACTTTAAGAACATAATTCCCGCACTTGTTCAGTCATTAATATACGCATATAGTCATATATCATGATCATCCTCAAAAACAAACCAAAGAAAAAGGTCGTAATGACGACCACAGTACTAACACTGCGTGTTTTTTTCGCCAAGAGATGACTATGTTTCAGACTCAACCGGGGAAGCTACATCCTCTCCCTTTCCCCCACTCTCTCTCGTCTCATATCACTCACGGGCAAAGCGCCATCGCGCGTGTTTCTCACTCGCCTCCTGTTTATATATAATCCTCCAAATCCTCACTCATGCTCTCTCACTGTCGCTCTCCTGTGAATCTGAAGAAATTAAATTCTCCAATACAGACCTCAATGGCGAATTGCCTCTTCCTGCTTCACAGTTGTGCATCCAGGAATTCCAATAGATTGCTTCCTAACCTCCCCCTCATCGTAATCACCACCGTCTTCTGCACCGTCTTCTATTTCATTGGCCTTTGGCAGCACTCCTCTGGCCCTGTCGCTATTGACGCAGCCTACGTTATCGCCGATTCCATCTGCCTCCGCCCCAATTCCACCACATCTTCTCCCCCGCCCCCGCCCCCGCCCCCGCCCAACCTCGACTTCACCGCCCACCACCACATCGCAGACCCTGTTCTTGCTCCGGAGGCGGCGCGTGATTTCCACTTCCCGCCATGCGACGCCTCACTCTCCGAGTACACGCCCTGCGAGGACGTCAACCGGTCCCTGAAATTCGACAGGGACAGACTAATCTACCGCGAGAGGCACTGTCCGGGGCCGTCAGAAGTGTTGCGGTGCCGAATTCCGGCGCCGTACGGGTACCGAGTTCCGTTGCGGTGGCCGGAGAGTCGCGAGTGGGTCTGGTACGCTAACGTGCCTCACAAGGAGCTGACTGTGGAGAAGAAGAAGCAGAACTGGGTTCGGTTCGAGGGGGAGCGGTTTCGATTCCCCGGGGGAGGGACCATGTTTCCTCGCGGTGCGGACGCTTACATCGACGATATTGGGAAACACATCAACCTGAGAGACGGGTCCATCAGAACCGCCATTGACACCGGGTGCGGGGTGAGTTATGTTTTGTCTCGGGTTTTTTGTGGTGCGTTTTGAGCCGGGATTCCGGTCGTTTTTAATTTCCTCAACAGCTGGTTTCAAGTTCACTTCTTTTTATACGACTGACTGATTCACACGTGCCATGGCATATGGCAACTGGGCATTGCATTTCTTTCTGCCATCCTCTATTACATCATTAGTTTTATATCAACATGAGAAACTGGACTGGTAGGGATTTCATTTCATTTCATTTAGGACGTGATTTATTTTTGTTGTTTTGGTGCAAATGTGAAATGTGTTAGACGGTGTGTCCCAGTCACAGCTATGGGTGGTTTAACCACCTATAGGACCTTGTCGTCTTCGTCAGTTTGCAGTTTGAAGGGGTTGGGAGTGGGACATGATCCTGTTTGTGTTGATTCGGTGGTTTCACTGTTACTTACGCCACACGTTGGGGAGTTTCGCCCTATCTTTTTAACTTTTGAACATGAATTTGGCAACTTTTTTGGGGAATCCTCGAGGGTCCAGATGCCTGTCGTTTATGGGATGAATGAGGATAGAAATTCCTTCTGGGTCCCTTTCTTTTTTTTTTTTTTTTAACTATTTTCAAAAACCCAAGTCTTTTTTGGGAAATGTGTAATTAATAACATAATTGACCTCATCAATCAAGTGTCATGTCTTGCTGTCTCTTTTCGTGGTTTTGTATTGATGTGTAAGGGATGTTTGGATGGAAACCAAACTATAGTTTTAGAAATGTTTTTACGGCTTACAAAGTAAATATATGGAAGAGTTTGTCTCGTTTTACAGAAAAGTGTTTTTTTCGGGGTTACCAAACATCCTCTAATTCTCTTTGTATTTTAAAATAACTTGGCACGAATCTTATCTGTTTCATAAAATTAAGAAAATTAGCTCCCCTACCCACAAGACTTTTTAAAATTTTTATATTACATATTGGTACGTAGTACAACAAAACAGAAAATTTATGAATTATGAGAGAGTTTTTAATGAAAAATTTTTATGACAAAAGTAATTCACAACGAATTTTTTTTCCTATTGTCGCTGCAAATTTCAACTTTTTTCATTGTAACTGTGACGTGATTTTATAAATATTCTGGTGCACTTGCTTGCCTTTTTTTGAGTCTACAATTTTCATGTCTAGAAAACTTACTGGCTGTGAAATTTCTCATGACGATATATTAATCTAGAATATGAATATATTATTCAAATAGCTGTTTTACATGCGTATTTGACTCGAAGGTGTGAAAGTTTATTTTATATTAGAATTAGAATTCGAATATGATATGAAGAAAATATTTGTAGTCTGGCTTGTTTTCGACCAAAGATAAAGAGAAGCCTAGCTTGTTTACATGAATATATTTAGGACCCAAAACCTGTACCATGAATTTGTTCCTTAGGTGGATGGTAAAAAGGTGAAAAGGAGCTTGCTTTGACACATTATTCTTCAAATTGAAGTAAAGTAGTTATAGTGAATTTTGTTTGTGTGGGCCCTTGATACGTGAAGGGGGGAATGATGAGAGGGAATAAAAATGCAGTGAATTACCAACGGGGTTGGTCCAAGTGGTAAGCGGCTTAGTACCGCTTAGAGGTGTTCAAGGCCGACCCGTCACGGTCGGCCCGTTCCGGTTCTAGTCTTATTGGGACGGGACGGATCCGTCCTAAAAAAGGACAAACCGGGACGGGACAAGACGGGACACGGGACGGGGTCGTCCCATCCCGGTCCCTTTTTTATTTTTTTAATTTTTTATCCTATTTATATAATATTATTTTTTTCATATTTTTTTAAGATTTGAAACTATTGTATAGAACTATGGATATATTTATTTAGAGTTTTTATATTTGTTAATGATTTGAGATTATTGATGATTAGAATTTTTAGCAAGTTTTTATTGTGTTAAAAGCTTTTGTTTAGAGTTTTTAATGATTATTATATGTAATATTATGAGTTTTTGTTTAAGAGTGCCAAACAAATAAAAAAGAAAATAAAAAGATGTTTTTATAAGTTTAAACCCAAAAAAATAATTAAAAAAATCAGATTTTATTAAAAAATTTTAAAAATTAAAAAGAATCAAAAAAATTTTAAAAAAAGTTCGGGACGTCTCGGTCCCGTCCCGACTGGGACCGTGACAACCCCGGGACGAGCTGGAACACGGGAAAGAAAATCTGTCCTATTACTGTTCATCGGGATGGAATCGGGACGGGCCTATCCCAGTCCGTCCCGTGAATAGCCCTGGTACCGCTTAAGCGAGGTCTCAAGTTCGAGCCTCAGCGTATGTATAAATCCCCGTTGGGAGACTCACCCACCATAGCCAAGTACGCTACGCGGGTCGGATCTAGATATTGTCGGAGCAAAGCTCCTGTGAATTGGGTGGGCAACAAAAAAAAAATGCAGTGAATTATATATGACATTTCCTCCTGTTTTTAATATAATATAAGAATTAAATAATTAATTTGCGGATATCAAGAAAATTAGTCAAATTAATTATTTATAATAAATTGATGTTGTCTTTCTTAAAATATCTTTAGTAAGCATGTGTATTAGATTATTTGGAATAAACTAGATAAGTATGAGGGACAAAATAGATTGAGATATTATATTTAGATAGTATAAATATATAATATAGAAAGAGGTGGAAAGATGATTTTTCATTTATTATGTGTGTGTTGGCAAGATGCATTTTGGAATGTCAAGTGCTCAAATCCTTGTCATGTGCGCTGTGTTACTTCTCAATGATTTTCATTAAGAATTGGAGGGGGAGGGTGGGGATCGAGCGTTAAAAAATAAAGAGAGAGAAAAATTCAGAGCGTTGTTATATTTTTGTATTCGATAAAGATAACAACTTTTGCAGACGGCGACAAGAACGTTGTGTTATTGGAGAAACTATGTATGGTTTGAATTCATTGAAACATTCGAGTAGCGTTAGAAGGAGAGAGGCAAAGTTAAGTGGATCGGAGTTAGTGGGCAATTATAAGAATGGTTGAAGCTCAACACGTCTCCATATCGATCATATCGCAAGTTGATGATCTGGTGACGTATGATTAGGACTTAAGAGCGACCTTGGTGAAAGCGGAAATGTAGATCCGTGGCTATTCTCTGCTTCATCCTCAAGCGTTTTTTCCCTCATTCTTCTTCTTGTGCAATTATCATTCTTTAGATTTTGCTGCTTTTGTATTTTTGTGTCCTGGTAATAAAAAAGAATCAATTAAAAATTCCTCAAAATTATTTCAATCAATCCAATTAATTAGTTCAAGACCCATTGCGGCAATATCAGGGGATATGTGATTCGCTATCAATTTTTATATTAGCACTTAAACTGACTGATGCAAAGCCATTAATTCATTTTATATTTTTCTTTCTCCATTAATTCCGCATGCATGATAACATGATCTTCACTGATTCAGGTGGCAAGCTGGGGAGCACACCTAATGTCTCGTAACATACTGGCAGTATCGTTTGCACCCAGAGACACGCACGAGGCTCAGGTCCAATTCGCTCTGGAACGAGGAGTGCCCGCCCTGATTGGAGTTCTGGCCTCTATCCGACTTCCTTACCCTTCCAGATCCTTCGACATGGCTCACTGCTCTCGCTGCCTCATTCCCTGGGGCCAACACGGTACATCCTCCCAAAATCCCACTCACCATCATCCTTCCACTCTATTATATTCTAACTCAGATGACTGCCCTGAACGGCGGAGCAGACGGCATCTACCTGACGGAAGTGGACCGAGTGCTGCGTCCCGGCGGGTACTGGATTCTGTCGGGGCCGCCCATCAACTGGCGCAGGCACTGGAAAGGCTGGGACAGGACTCGCGACAGTCTTCAGCAAGAACAGGACGGCATCGAGGCGGTGGCCAAATCACTGTGCTGGAAGAAATTGGTTGAGAAGGGGGATCTGGCAATATGGCAGAAGCCCACCAATCACATTCACTGCAAAATCACAAGAAGACTCTTCAGGAACCGCCCATTCTGTGGCTCGCAGGATGCGGACAAGGCTTGGTAATTTGGTCAGAATGGATGAGAATATTGCAACAATGGGCCTTTAATAATTAAGTCATCTCACTCTGATGATGTGGACCGAAACTGCAGGTACACTAAACTCGAGACCTGCCTGACGCCACTGCCGGAAGTATCAGGCATAAAAGAGGTGAGCGGGGGAGAGGTGGCGAAATGGCCAGAGAGGCTGAACTCAATACCGCCAAGGATTAGAAGCGGGAGCGTGAGAGGAATAACGGGAGAGATGTTCAAAAGAGACGGGGAGGTGTGGAAAGAGAGGGTGAGACGGTACAAGAGAGTGGATTCTCAGCTGGCGGAAGCGGGGAGGTACAGGAACGTGCTGGATATGAACTCTCACCTGGGAGGCTTCGGTGCGGCATTGGCATGGGGCGGCGATCCCGTGTGGGTGATGAATGTGGTCCCCGTGGAGGCAGAGCCCAACACGCTGGGCGTCATTTATGAGCGCGGCTTGATCGGCACCTACCACAACTGGTATGTATACGCACGCTCTTGTCGTATTGCTCTCATTAATTTAATTGAAGTGTGGCGGCCGGCCATATATATACATACACACTCACATATCCATGAGCTCATGCTGTGTGTAAGTGCGTGACAGGTGCGAAGCCATGTCCACTTACCCGAGAACCTACGACTTCATTCATGCCGCTGGCGTTTTCAGCCTGTACAGAGACAGGTAGGTGATCATTGTTATATATATATATATGTCATGATCTATGTTATGATGAATGGATGAATGAATGAATGCATGGCAGATGTCCAACGGAAGAGATAGTGTTGGAGATGGACAGGGTACTGCGGCCGAGGGGAAGCGTGATAGTGAGAGATGACGTGGATGTGGTGATGCGGGTGAAGACCGTGGCGGAGGCGGTGGGGTGGCAGACGACTGTAGCTGACCATGAGGACGGCCCTCTTCACCGCCACAAGATCCTCTCCGCCTTCAAGCCCTATTGGACTGCTCCCCCGCCCCCTCTCTCCTGACTCCCGCCATTTTTATCTTCTTTTCTTTCAACTTTTGACTTCATTTTTTTATTTTTAATTTCATTCTATTTTACAATTTACGCCCCCCCAAGCCATCTCCCAATTCTATGTCATTGGTTCGTCCTGGGCATTTGATCTGACGTAGCGTCATGCCGTTTCTCCATCTTCTTCTTCTTCTTGTTTTTTTTTTTGGGCCATGAAAAATAAAAAGCACCAATTAGCCAAGGAAACTTCTGTTATCCCTCAAGCCTGCGGCGGCTTATGAGCAGCGGGGCCAGATGCGGTAAACATCAATTTCAAAATTCATGCTGATCCCCATTGCATTCCGTGGTTACGGGGTTCATATTAGAGCTCCCACTGATCAGTAATGGTTAAACTTATTTATCACGGTATTATTATTAATTTTATGTATTACTCGGTGCTTGGCACTTTTATTATAGTAAAATGCGTTGTCTCGTTTAATTGAATCAAACCCTAACAAATTAGGATATCTAGTTCATTTATTTTCTAAGAATCCCTTCCCTGCGAACTAATGCTCTGATTTTTAGATGATTATGAGGTATTTTATGCTTGACTGCTTCATGAAACTTTAAATGTGTGCTATCGGTTTGGCTTTGCTCTCCTTTCTTCGGCATATTGGTCTGCATAAATGGACTGCGATCTTCTTCCTCATCGTTATCATCTCTCCATTGCGTACGCTAATTTTATTTCTCCATTCAAAATCAAGCAGCGTTAGAAGTAATATTATCAAGAATTGAAGACAAACACTATACCAAATGCATGTAAAATCATTTTGTATAATTCCATTCATTCCAACTGCATATTTATCGTTCAAACATATATAATAGTTAGTTGATTAATTTAAGTAGATTGAGAAAATTAATTAAATTAGTTATTTATAATAAATATGTATTATCTTCTTTAAAATACTCTTGCCAATAATGTGCATTAGATGGAACTACTATTTGATGAAATTTTTAATATGTCAATTAATATAAGGATTATCTTAAAAAAATAACTAAATATGATAGACAAAATAGATTAGAATCTTATATTTAAAACTAAATTAAATACTAAATTAGTTTTTATATAGAAGAGGAGGTATTATCTTCTTTTTGGACCAAATCGTTTGTTTATCGTCTAGACATCGCTGCTTTTATTTTCCAGCCTGGGTGAATCCAGATACCCCCACGGGAGGTTTTTTTTTTTTTGTTGGGGTCTTTTAACCGGTTTATTACTATTATTTTTGTCTTTAATATTAGAGTTAGTTGACTAATTCAATTAAATTAGAAATTTTTGTTAAATTACTTATTTATAATAAATAGGTGTTGTCTTCCTTAAAATACTCTTGCTGATCATGTATATTAGTTAGAATTACCATTTGATGGAACCTTAAACATATACAAATATTATAAGGATTACTTTGAAAAAATGAATAAATATTACAGACAACATAAATTAGGATCTTATATTTATGACCAAATTAAAATTTAAATTAGTTTTTATATTAAGGAACTAAAGCAGTAATATAATATAATTGTCATTTTTATTCAAAAAAGGGAAATGAATAAAGCCTTTTATGCGTTTTCACACAACCTTAATAATATCAATGAGAGATGACTCCGTATTTCTGATTTGATTGACATAGTAACATGGCAACATACAATATACAATATATAATCATAGTAAATTAATTTGTTTTTGCCGGATCCATTAGGAAAATGAAAAGAGTTTTGAAAATATGAAATAGCAAAATAGATTCCTGAATACTATAATTGTTTAAAGAGATTGAATTTTAAATTACAAATATAAAATGATGGCTAAAAAACAAAAAGCCTTTCTGCATCTTAAAACTTTAGTAAGTGAAATAATAAATATGTATACAGAAACTACAAGTCTAGTCAGTGAAAAAAAAAAAACAGGGACAGAATAGTTTATTATTAAAGAGGATAATTAGAGTTTTGAACTCGAGGTGTGAAAATGTAGCATCTTAAGAGTCAGGAGATGTCAACTTTAATAGTTCCTGTCATGTCTTGATCCGGATTAGTTTAAGTCTGTTGTTGTGTCTAAAAAATGGCCTAATTCAGGTTACTGGGTGCCTATGCAGAAAAAATAAAAAGGGATAAGTAGCATAAATTATACAACATTTCAAATTTTCAATAGCATATAGATGATTTTAGAAGTTTCGCCATCATTTGTGCGTGCGTGCGTTTTTTTTTCTGCCACCACTATTGTCATCTGTCAGGGATTGATGGTCCTGACTTAAGGTAGTACTTAGATAGAAACAAAAACGTGATTTTGAAAGTGATTTTATATTATATTTTTTTAATCTTATTTATAAGTCACTTCTAATATATTTCACATAGATTAAGAAAAACCTTAAACTTTATTAACTTTCATTTAAAATTCAATAACTTTCCAACTTTATCTTTGTTTAATAGACATTATATCTTATATAAATAAAATTAATACAATAATAAATGAAAAGTAAAATTATACATACACACAAGAAATTTCTCTTAGTGTCTATAAATGGACCAAAAAATATCTTCTATCTCTTTCCTATAAATAGACCAGGGGAGCATGAAGTAAGTATGTGGGAGAAATTTTATCTCAATTTACGTGAAAGCACTTATTAAAAGTATTTTTTGGGGCATTCCAAACACCCTCTAAAACTTTTATAGCATATATATATGAATTTCTCCGATCCTATTCATGAAGATATTTTTTGGTCTTACTTATAAGATGCTGAGAGGAATTTTTTTTTGTATGGATGTAAATTTTACCCTTTATTTATTATTGTATTGATTTTGTTTACACAAGATATAATATATATTAAATAAAAATAAATTTAAAAAGTTATTAAATTTTAAATAAGAATTAATAAAATTTAAAATTTAATGAAACATGTTAAAGATAAATTATAAAAAAGAGTCAGCCACTGTATCTAAACACTTTTTTTTTTTTTCCCGGCCAACATATAAATAAAGACATCGATCAAACTCTAAGTTTTCCTTCAAAGATCCGCTGCCGTATTGCAAACAAAATCTGACTATTTGAGTACGTATAGAATCTCAGAACCTTCGCCTTAGATCTACCGCTGCTCCACACTTCTGAAACCAGCCCACACCACTGAGGTCACATTTCCTTCTCTGTCTATTTTCAATCGTAGGTAGAACCTCTGAGCATTCTTCTCAATTTGTATAAACTCCGCGATCCTTCAATTCAAACTCCTTTGAAATCCCTAACCCATATGCGCGTTTGATCAGATCCAATCACTTTTTTCGATGGGCCAGTCGAATTTGCCTCCTTCCAAGCGTAATCCGCGTCAATGGCGGCTCTTGGACATAGTAACTGCGGGGTTTTTTGGATTCATATTTCTCTTCTTCGTCCTCATCTTCACACCTCTCGGGGATTCGCTTGCCGCCTCTGGTCGCCAGACGCTTCTTTTATCTAACTCTGATCCACGGCAGCGCCACCGCCTCATTGCGGCCATCGAGGCCGGTGAGCAGCGAACTATTGAGGCATGCCCCCCGGATGCGGTGGACCACATGCCATGCGAGGACCCGAGATTGAACAGTCACCTCAGTAGAGAAATGAATTACTACAGAGAGAGGCATTGCCCGCGGCCAGAGGCGACGCCGCTTTGTCTGATTCCCCCGCCTGAAGGCTACAAGATTCCAGTGCAGTGGCCGGAGAGCTTGCACAAGGTATAAGTATTAGATTGTTTGGATCCGGAGTAAATGCTGAAATGTCAAGTAAAACAAGACATGTGGGTGTAAGTCCAAATAATTACAGAACACAAGCACTGGTATGAGTACTACGAGTGAATCCTGTTACTACAGCAAAATTTATAACTTGCTATTTAGATATTTGTGGTCTCTTGAGAGTTTTCGGATATGTTTCCGGAAATATAAGCATTAAGGTGGGTGCATTAATAAAAGAACTTAACCACACACGCAGTCACTCACTATGACATAAACTACCATATCAGCTTAAAGTGTATCCATGAGCCTAACAGAGAAGTATAGCAAGAAAGGAACAAATGGCGACAGAAAGAAGTGAAGAAAAGAGAAGGTAGGGGTGGGACCGTGAAATCAGAGAGTGGATGGGTAAAAGAACGGAAAGATGTAGATGGAACAGAATTGAAGAAGAGGCTGAAGTGAAGGAGCCATCAGAGGCTTCCATATGGAGAAGGGTTAGATTTTTTTTTTTTGGGGGGGGGGGGGACCTTGACTAAAGGGCGATAATCTAATTGCTTGCGAGCCATGCGATGCATGCCATGCACAATGGCACTGATAACACTAGTCATTGCGCTTCAAATGACACATGCAACGCCATAGATGTAGTGACGTCCAAAGATCCGTGGCACGAGGTACACCACATGCCATGACGAAAAATGCTGCGCAGTACAATCTAAAAGTAATTTAATGCACACTTAATAGAATGATACCTGCGTCGTATCTGTCTTAAATAACAAATTAGAGAGACCAGATTCTATGGTGAGTCAGAGTGGCTAAAAGATCTCTAAGCAAAATATCTAAAACCAGTAACTTATCCTGATACGTGATAAATTTATATGCCACTTTTGGTAACAGGTTTCTCTTAATTGAAAATTATGAGGAAGACCAATGTAGATTACTTTCGCCCCCTCTTTGCCTCATCCTTTTTCTCTTCTATATTCACTGGGGACTTAATTTCAACAAGATATCTTATATTTTCTTAATTAGTAATTCACTGATAAAACCACTTCTACCTTTGTGCAGATACGGCATAGCAATATGCCACATGACAAGATTGCAGATAGGAAAGGTCACCAAGGATGGATGAAACGCGAAGGCCAACATTTTATTTTTCCTGGTGGTGGTACAATGTTTCCAGATGGAGCCATTCAGTATATTGAAAAACTTGGTCAGTACATCCCAATAAAAAGTGGTATTCTGAGGACTGCTCTTGATATGGGGTGTGGGGTAGGAGCTTTTCTCCTATTTAACTTCTTATTGTTTTTTATTCCTTTGGGCCAAAATAACGTATTATTGTTTAACATGTACGTGTATCTATCATTTCATAGGTTGCTAGTTTTGGAGGGTATTTGCTAGCTCGAGACATTTTAACTATGTCCTTTGCTCCAAGAGATTCACATAAATCACAAATACAATTTGCTCTCGAAAGAGGAATACCAGCAATGGTCGCCATGCTTGGCACTCGCAGACTTCCATTTCCTGCATTTGCATTTGACTTGGTGCATTGTTCTCGGTGTTTAATTCCTTTTACAGCCTACAGTAATCTCTTCATTCTGGCCTACCTTTTTAAATCTTATAATATGCTAAACAATAGCCACT